TCTGCGTGTTTGGCCTGCACAAAGTGAGGCCAAGATTGAATCTGAGAATTGCACCCTCACTCAAACTTGTAGACAGGGCACCTCCTATAAAGTACATGCGATTGTGTAAAGCAGTTTGATCGATCGTGACCAGGTTGGGCACTTAGAGGAGATCGGGCTGTGTGGCAGGGTGGCCTAGACGCCAACAAGTCTGATAATAACGGGGGCAGATTGATATGGTCGGACAGGGAGGGATTCTCCGCCAAAATACACCAAGGTGGAGGTCGTGTTATGGAGAGTAACCCAGGTAATATTGGCGGAGATTCACGGCGCTTCTAGGGGGAGTGGTGTAGCATTGTACTGATACTGCATCTTGTGTGGAATTCATGATGAACAGATTACAACAGGCTCAACGAAGGGAAGGACAAGAAAACACGAATGTTCGTGTGTTTTCTTGTTCTTCCCTTCCGTGTTCCTGTTGCAATACTGCATCATGATCCACGACGCGAGTAAGTCTTCTGCACAATCTTGCCAATCCATGTCACTGGGCATTTTGTCGGGGAGACGGAAACAGATCCAGTACAAGCGTTGAGGGAGAGGTGAGACTGAGCAGGAATGGGGGTTGCCAGTGAAGTCAGTCAAAGATGAAAATGCTTTAACTTGGGATTTGGATGTAACTGTGACAGGCGGAAAAAGATCGGGCGGCTGCGGAAGGAAACTTTGCCTTGTTTTGGAGACATTGCTGGAAGAGGAGAGTGTTGTCAGAGGAAGGGGCTGTAGAGGGGATCAAGAAAAATCGATCCCATTTAACTAGCCTAAACACCGTATTCAAAAGGGGTCTGTAAGGTTCGGTCTGTAGAAGGCGGAACGTGAGAAGAGGGAGTAATGTTAAGGGAGGTACTGTGGAGAGACTACAGAGAAGTAATAAGGGAGGAGGGAGTAGTGGAGGAAGAAAGCTGTGGGGCTGGAGATGACGTAAGGAATGTTGGGAGAGGAGGAATGTTTTCTGGAGGTTGAGTAATTTATTTGTTGATTTGGACAGGACCGAGTTGATAGTACTCACTGAGGAGGGGGAAATAGTAGCAGTGTTCAGAATCGTGGTCAAAGGAGAGCTTGAGGTCCGGGACTTGTGCCAATTCAAATTTGTGGGGCTAGCTGGTGAAGGGGGAAGCCTCAACACCCCTAATAAGGGCGCAAAATCTTAATTACTGGCTATAGTAAGCCTGAAGAATGTTGGGGAGAGAAACAGTCCATCCGTAAGAGTCCCCCTGAGGAGTAAGGGCAAAACAACTAAACAGGGGAATACCGTGCCCAGTTTCCCTCAGGCCGTTCATGATTAGCACAAAGTCAGCCTTCAATCCTTTCAACGCGGCTGTCATGCCTTGAGAAGTAGACAGAAGGGGTTGGAGAAGGGGAAGAAACAGAAACGGGAAGACAAATAGTACCGTGTAAAATTACTTATAGTTGAGGACTGAGGACCAAAGGAGGAGTGATCCCCACCAATGGCTCAAAATCTCCCTCTTCTAAGCAACCCCCCCCCCTCCCACGGCAATAACGGGCATGGGATGGGGGGGGATTCTTCTCGAAAACACGAACGGGGCATCAACGGTAAAACAATTATGAAATCGTCAAGTGATACGGCATAATTTCAAGATAACATTTGGGTGTTTTCTATCGGTACTCTTCCATTATCTTGTCAGTTCGGCTTAGCAACGTACTGCTGTCTATTTTCTTGTATCTTGGAGTTTTGAATGTTGGCTTTTATTTTGAGACTGTTTTCTAATATCATCCTTGTATTTAATTATTTTCTCTGTCTGTCTGTCTATTTGCTTGTCAGTCTCCCTCTCCCTCTCTCTCATTCTCTTTGTCTGTCTGTCTCTCTCTCTCTTATCCTCTCTCTCTGTATAATAATATAATCTCTATATTTATCTATTTAGCTTCAGTGTCTTTCTGTCTTTACCTGTCCGTTCGTCCGTTCGTCCATCCGTCTGTCTGTGTCTGTCTCTCTTCTGTGTGTGTTAGCGTGAATGTGTATGTGTATATATAGTTTACAACTTGCCCTCGAGCCACAATTATACACCTTTTGTATTTATTTATAAAATTGTGTCGTCTACTGGACATAATTGATTCATCAAATCTCTCTCTCTCTCTCTCTCTCTCTCTCTCTCTCTCTCTCTCTCTCTCTCTCTCTCTCTCTCTCTCTCTCTCTCTCTCTCTCTCTCTCTCTCTCTCTCTCACACACACACACACACACACACACACACACACACACACAACCTTTGAAAACTGTTTGTTCCCCCAACAAAGCAACGGTGAGCAGAGCGCAGCCATGTGTCACCTGCGTTTGTAAGTCCAGGCTTCCGTTACTTCACTACGTCCTCGGTGTTGTTTTGACAATCTTTCCGAAAATGGTCCGTTAACAGGAAAATTTGCGAAGGAATGGCCAGGATCAACGTATTCGGACAATAGGCCTACCTTTATCTCTGTCCGTTTATCCGGGGGTTCATGGAGTGGGGTCATTGGTCCTTTCACCGATCGTCAAGTAGTTTGTAATTGGTGGTTAAGGTCGGTTTAAGGTTAAAATTGTCTCCTTTCTAACAATAGTGTGCCTTTATTATTTACCTGATTAAACAATATCCTTGCGAAATACGAAACATACTTCGAAAAAAGAAAAACAATTGTTGACGATTCGTCACGGATGACGTCGCTCCTTTGTTCCAATTCCCGCGTAACTGATCGCATGGGCGCGAGGTTTCCGTGCCAGGACGCGCCTTCCAGTCCTTGTGACCCTGCCGACCGCGGGTGTTCAGGGGTGTTCGGTTGTAAATATCGGTGTATGTTTATCAAATGAATATTAATAGGTAAAAATAGATTTAGAAGAAAGAAAAACGAAAAAACGGTTGTTTCTTGAGCCTACTCCACGGACGAAAGTCAAATGTAGGCCTGTGGAAGCACGATAGTAATTTCTGTTGAGGATTGCCAGCCGAGATATTGCTAGTCTTTTGCTTTATTCAGCTTGCAACCCCTACTCCCTCTTCAAGACACGCTGAGATCTCATGAGGAAATGTGCTTGTGTACTACGATCATACAGCTGGTAGATTGACAGCCATCAACCGCATTTCCGAGCAGTGCAATGTTACACCGAATATATATTTTCCCTTTCTTTTTCTTTAAAGGATTATAACATTTATAAATACGTCACAATCAAGTTGCCGATGATGGTGATAATGATGATACTGTTGTCACTGATTTTATACTTACGATAGCAATCTTGATTTCATAAACTTACCTATTTTACAGTTCATTTTAGGAATAGAATAACAAAAATACCAGACCAGTAAAAACACACACATACTCCAGCCCCAATCAGTTGGCATAACCCATTATTCAAATTCACAAATGTCTCAATACACCCTACATTCACGAAGTCCCGAAAATGAGGAAGTGAACAGCGTGCGACCACTTCAACGCACGCAACACCACCGCATAAAATCAAACCGGAGATATGCGAATTAACGTCTGGTTGCAGATGGTTCCACGCCTCTAGTGCCACGGCTGCATTTAAGATATTATTTACCTTTTACAAAATCAGTAATTCATTGTTTATTATTATTTTATTGTTCCCTAGAGCCCAGGTAGTATGTAAATGTGATTGAGTGTCGTCTGCATATAGAATGAAAAATGTACTGTACTATGAATTTATTTCGAATCTGTAGGAGTTTCATTTGAATGTAGTTAAATGCACAGGGATTATGAACGTATTGCATTTAAAGAATATGATTTTTATACAGGTTTGAATGTCAAAGAAAAACAACATGGCTACATGGCGTGGTAGCATGTTCTCGTCATAGATTCCAGTCACAGAATTAAGTTAATCGGCCGGTTTGTAAAAATTGTCCGAGGCTTGACCCAATGAACTTTCATTATACGGACATGCAAATGCACTAAAATAAGGGCCTATCTATCTGTCGAGACATACATATCAACCGTATAGATCGACAGATAATTGTATATGTATCTGATAGACAGACGTGTATTTATTTCTGTGTATATGCATGTCTGTATATACGGGTCTCGTACAATTTTAAGAAACTAGTTATTTGGATGTAAGAAAACGTATTTGCCGGTCGAAGTGTGTCCTTACCTCCTTTCCCTATAGTTTCTAAGATTACGCTACAGCCATTGATGCCTGGGCCTAGTTACAAGACTGATAATGATGTTTTGGTAATTTTGTAAGAATAAAAAATAACACTGCTATTTGAATAAGTATTTGGTTATGTACTTCTTTTTCACCTTCTTTTTTACTTCATTTTCGCGTTCTCCCGTCTTTCTCTCTCTCTCTCTTCCATTCTCTCTCCCTTCCTTTCTCTCTCTCTCTCCCTTCCTCTCTCTTGGCATGTGTCTGTAAAAATATGGAATACGCGCTAGCAGCTACAGTCATCACGTGTGGAGAATGATTAATAACTGGCAGTATGGGATTTGGTTCGTGTGGTTATCGCGCCTCTAATGCTATGCATGCCACACACACATACACACACGCACACACATATTTTTAATATACTGATGTGTATGTGTGTATGTATATGTATGTGTGTATATATACTGTATATATATACATAGACATACACACATACGCACACACACACACACACACACACACACACACACACACACACACACACACACATATATATATATATATATATATATATATATATTATATATATATATATATATACATACATACATATATAAATACACACCTATATTGCTATTGTCACCTGTTATATATATATATATATATAATATATAATATATATATATATATATATATATATATATATATATATATATATATATATATATATTTCTGACAAACTTCGGCAGCCTGTAAAAAGGATACTGTCTAGATTGATATTGTGAATTTGTGTTACTCTTTCTAGCTAATGTTTTTTTTATTCCCTTCATTGATAAGTATATTAAGAATTGATTAATGTTACTGAGGGTCACATATGCGGCTA